ATTCGTGCAGCTGTGTGCCTCGCCGGGGACAAGGAGATTTTTTCTTCTCGGGCGTAGATCGCCCCTTCCGCGAGAATTTCGTAATCTGGTTCTGCCGCGGACCGAAAGAAATCGATTGTACGTCCACTTTTTGCCGAACCTCGATCGCCTTCCGCGTCGCGGTCGGGCGTCCGCCGGGAGACGATTTCTGGAACGGTGAATTTACGACTCGAGGAGGATCGGAAGAGGGTCGGTCGAATTTCACCCTCCGCGATTTATAGTAAAACTACCGAGCGATTCATGTGATTCGTACGTATTTAGAAAAATGATAAGGGTACCTTTGTTTTCATTTTTATTCGTATTTGTTGCAATAAAGCCTTATGAAGAGGTGTCGGACTCGCGATGAAGATTTTAACGCGTTGAATGCCGCGCGATTCTAAGGTGCAGAATATGCGAAAAGAAAAAAATACAATATTGAACTATTTAACTGCGTTGTTATTATCGCAGGTTTGTTTTGCTGAATGTCACCGTATTAGGTAGAGTTGTTTACAATATAGGAATGTTTTCAAATGATCATCGTTTAATTAAGGAAGTTGCAGTAATCGAATTTGGGCGGGAGTCACCGGTGACCGCCATGGCATTCAACGTGTTAACCCTAATCGTACCACGTGTTTTTATAGCGATATACGACGATGTGACTCTCAGTCACTTGTGAGAATAAAGGGAATGATTAAAATGTTATTGTTTTTGTTTATAGGGCCCAAATTGTAAAAGCCCAAAGAAACTTTTGGAAGTGCAATATGAAATAATTAAAGAATTTAAGTAAAAGGTTCAAATGTGACTCAAAGTCACATCATGATCCGATTAGGATTAAAGGGAACTTAACCCTTTGCACTTGAGAAGTGACTCTCATTCGCCATTTGATTTGACACAAAACTATAAAATGTGATGTTTGATGTTCAACTTCGTATAATGTCTCAATACGTGAAAGATTGGAATAAAATAGCTTTCTTCCTCAATGCATCTGTGATTTCCCTTCGAGTTAGTTTCAAAGAATATCGTCTTCGCCTCGTCGAAGAACGTTAAATATTTCTAGGGAGAAACTTCCGAGTGCAAAGGGTTAAGAATAAGTATTAATTGATTCTTTTGAATTTTAATTGGATATTATTCTTCTATAATTATACTTTAGAGCAAATATAGGCGCAGAATATGCAGAATTTTTCTCTTTCTTCAATAAATTATTTATGACAAAGAAGCTGTAATATAGTTGAGAGTTAACCGTAGGGCAAGAGGTTAAGTAAATGAAATTATGAATTTTAAAATATAGTTTGAAATATTCAACATACTTATATCAGCAATTGCAAGCTAAGAAGATTGAAACCAGTCATTCTGAATGATACATAGTTTCAGTGTTAGGGATCGTTTAACACCTAAAACTGCCGAGCCGTTGAAGTGACATCTCTATGATGACTTAAGAAAAATTAAGAAAGTACATTACTTGAAATTCGACGGGTTTGGTAATATTGTATCCACAGAAATATACAAATCCTGGGAGAAATAATGGGAAAAGAAAATTATAGCAATCTTTTATTATTCATAATCCAAATATGAAATTCCGTCGTCGCCAAAATGACATTCGTTCCGAGAAGGTTAATATTCTTCGTGTTCCCTTTCAAAACGAATCGCTTCGACCGTGGAAGATCATTGCGCTCGTTTCGAGGATGAAAAATGATTACGAGATCACTTGTTCGGACGGAAGATTGATGGATGGAACGGAGGCTTTGCGTTAAAAGGAACATTAGTCTTCCCTTTCTTGTGTTGGAGTGTAATGAGTTACGCCGGGGTCACCCTGTTTTGCGGTGGATTGCCAAGGAGAAGCTGTGAACTCAGTAGGTATCGGAAGAAACGAAGTTCAACAGCAGAAATGTAGGAAACGCGATGAAACAACCGTTACTCATCCTTGCCAGAGTACAACGTTCAAAATGACTCTGTACCAAAACATGTCATGACAAGTTATTACGAGAAATCCTCGAACTCTCTTCACATCCGACAAGAAAGAGTTTCTTTCCAAGAAATGCAAAGCGCGCACACCTAAAAACACCTGGTTTCATTCAGCAATCATAAATCTCCAGATCAAACCTATTCCGATCTCGCTTCGCGGCGCAGCGTATTTTCTTCACAGGAATAATTCCAAGCAGATCGTCTCACGGTAAGAAACGTTCAATGTTTGATCACCGGGCTCGACGGTCGAATGAAGCTAGTCCGTTTTTCTCGGACGCGCTCGAGGATCGTCGACGACTGTCGATCCGTTCCTCGAATGCAAACGTTTGTTAGCGGAGAAAACCTCGTGCGGACGGACCGAGCTCGATCGCGCGAAAGGGAAACCGGCGCGGTGATGCAAGAAGAAGAGCGTGGCGATGTTCTGGGCGATGATCGTTCGCGTAGAAAAAAAGGGAACGTCGTGAACGCGAAGAATTCGAGCGCACTAGATAGTTTATCCACACCTGCTGTTCGGTGAATTAGCCGTGGTCAATTGACGAGCGTCGCAGGAAGGGGCGGGAGGCAGGGCAAAAACGGCGCATCTCCAATGAACACTCATTGACGATGCAACGTTTTTGCACGTCCACGGTTTCGACGTAGCGAGCCGTTCCACGAACGATCCTCGCCCCGTACGCACCGCGGGGGAAACAGGATCGATTCTGAGCTGGCGTTGATGGATCGCGAGGGGGATGGCCGAGATCCAGGAAGCAATTACTAAGCTCGATATCCGTCGGCGGACTTTTCATCGAGCGGGAGCGGATCGGCCGGATACTTTTTTCTGCGATCGGAAAGCAGACCGCGGCGGATTCAGTTATTATTCCAATTTCGATGTCATCACCTTTCCTTTGTGATTAGATGAAATATAGTATTCTTGGTAACAATACGATCTTGTTAGTATGATCGAGAGAATTACTAGTAATTGTCGAATATTGAATAACTATAATTGACACGGAACTATCTTTCAATGAATGATCTTTATACTCTACATCTAGCAGACAGCTCTGGATTCAGTTGTTATTCCAATTTCGATGTCGTCAGCTTTCGTTTGTGCTTAGATGAAATATAGTATTCTTGGCAACAATACGATCTTGTTAGTATGATCGAGAGAATTATTAGTAATTGTCGAACATTGAGTAACTATAATTGAGAAGGAGCTATCTTTCAATGAATGATCTTTATACTCTACATGGCGTAAATAAAACGAGTGACTCGTAGGACGGTTCCATTGTAAAATAACGAAAGTCGAACGTATCACGTTTTACTGTCAGACGTGCACAAGAATCTCATCACGATTCAAACGGATTTCGAATGGATCCTCGAGCTCTATTAGAATTCACCGCGAGGACTTATTAACGTCATTAGACGGTCGGAATGGGACTAGCAGGTCGGAATCGGTTATCCGATTTCAGTCGAGTGTCGAATATTAATTTCACGTTTTACCGTTTCGCAATCGAAACTCTTGGGAAGATGTGGAAGCGAGAGATAAATAGATGCAGTCGGAGGGAGATCCGGCCTCGGTAGCGAGCGAGTTTCCGTGTGCAGTGATTTACCGGTCGTTTCCCATGAACTTGACCTCGGGGATTCGTGTGACGCAATCGTGATGCAGGTGAAAGTAGTCCCGGCCTTTCCGAACGATTTCCGATGCGACTCGCCCCATCGAGCTCGGTTCGAGGACGACTAATCGGTTGCCGATCGAATCTGTCTATCGATCCTGTACCTCGTAACAGGCGAGGATTCGCGGACACACGTAATCCGAAACCGGCTCGACGTAAACGGAAGAGGCTACCGCGAGCGATGCCTTGAAGAGCGTGGCTCGTGACGGAGAGCTCTCCGGGACGACCCCGGAGCCTTCGAAGAACGAATATGGTGAGCTGGGTCCATGGGAAAGCACCTTGGTCTATTGAGAATGCCAAAGGTGAGCATTATGAGGTAAGACTACTATTCCGTTCCGAGAGAAGGGAAGGACAAAGGTAGGTTCGATGTCCTGACCTGGCTCGGCTCATTCAGCTATCAGTGGGCTGTGTTTTTGGGAAATTATACTTTAAAGAAATTATTCATGTTATGATAGACGTAACTGTATTCATGACTATTCTGCAAATTTGATATTATAAATTATTTTAGATAAACTGTGTACTGCGACCTGAAGGTTAATACTTTGAAGATTAAATTTTGAGGTTAGGACTAAGATTGTTGTATTTAAAATTTCTTTTATTTCTATCGAATTTTTCATTAATAAGCACGTTGTATTAATATATTGTGCGATGTATTTGTATAGTGTTTTTCATTCTTTTGAATTCGTTAGGGTTTGAATGTATTACTTTCAGCAGCACGCTGGAGACTTCAATGACGGCACAGGCGAGGCGTCTTCTAGACGGATGTATACGTTAACGTTCGAATCGCGTGAAATCATTTGTACAATTATTCTAACAGTTACGCTGGAATGTTTAGTGAATTATATACTCAAACGGTTTTTAAATCTACACACCATTATCACTGGAATGCTTGTATTATCCGAAATTATAATACTTTAAAGAAAATTCGTTATTTGTAACAGTGCTTTCATCAACAGCTGTCCCATTCAGGTTTTTGAATATCGATACAGACAACGTTGCTTTACTTCGTCGCGTATAGGAGTTACAAACGAACCGTGCTTCTTTTTAGGCAAACGCTGCTCGGATTTGTCGAATCGAAATCCGTCGAAGGGACTGGCATTGTAATTCCGGCGGAGTCGTAGAATGGTTTTTTTCAAGACGAACGTACGGGGAATGAGAAGTCTAGCCGAGAGGAACGTTCTTCCTCGTCGTGGCTACTTTTTCATGCTATCTCACGTACACCTGTTCGCTGCCAAATGAGTTACGTTTCGACGCGACGGGCGTGTTGGAGGCGTCCAAGCAAGACCAGGAGGAAGATAAAAGTCTCGCGGTGGGAACAGGTTCCTGTCCCGGAGGGAACTATATCGATGTATTCGCCGGAGAACTCACCAGAATTAGATTGCGATGCCAGTAGAACAGTCAGACAGAGTATAATCCCGGGTCGACAAGGCCCGGCGCTCAAGGCCGACATGTCGGCACACTTCTTCCGTTTCCTGAAACCACAAAAATCTGCCGTTAGACGATTTCATTTAACTGTATCGCATCGAGGCTGCCCTATTTATAACGCGGAATATCTAATAATAACATCTCCAGACAAACTTCCACGAACTCTTGTCTCGTACGCCTACGAAATGCTAAGCAGCGCTCTTGGTACGG